AAAAATTAACCAAAAAAGGGGGAAAAGATCATATATCATGAGCAAGATTTCATCCCAGAGATGTAAGGATGCTTCACAATATATACCTTAATAAATGTAATGTATCACATAAACAGAAGCAAGGTCAAAAACCATACCATCATGTCAATAGATGCAGGAAGAGCTTTCAATATTATCCAATATTCCTTCATGATAAAAACTCGGACGAGGAGGAGGAGGGGAAGAACCATATCTGAATATGATAAAAGCAATTTATGACAAACCAACAGCAAACATCACAGTAGACTGTCAAAGCCTGAAAGCTTTCACTGTAAAACTGAAGCAGAAATCCTGACCTAACTGCAGCCATTTTCTTCAAGAAAGATACAATCATTCTGTTCTCTGCCACTGAACTCAGCCACATCATGTGATTTGTCATCAAATTAAAACTTCTGTGAATATGCTAAAAACAACTTTGCTACACACAACTACGCTCACAAGATAGCCATTGTACCAGGACCTTCAGCAAAAGCTTATCTCAGTCTTGTAACTTCTGTTTGCCACCCTTTAAATAAAACAAGCTCCCTGGAATCAACATCTCAGACTTTGGAGATTACTCCTCTGGGATCCACTAACATCAATAAAATTTCCTTTGTTCTCCTTAGCTCCCAGCTACTGTTGACTCAATTTTTCCTGCAGTGACACCAGGAACAAGGATGTTCACTATCACCTCCCCTATTCAACATGGTACTTGAAGCATTGGCCAGAATAATTAGGTTAAGGAAAGAAATACAAGGGATACATATAGGAAAGGAAGAATTCAAACTATCATTATTTGCAGATGACATGACTGTCTAAATAGAAGACCCAACAAAACGCAACAAAAAACTCTTAGAATTCATAACCAAATTCAGCAATGTAGCAAGATACAAGAGCTACAAACAAAAATCATCATTATTTGTGTACACCAATAATGAAATGGACGAGATGGAAATTATGAAAACATTATCATTCATAGTACCTTCTACAAGAATGAAATACCTAGGAATTAACCTAATTAAGGAAGTGAAAGACCTCTGCAAAGAGAACTACAGTACCCTGAAAGGGGGACTGAAGAAGACATTAGGAAATGGAAAGCTATACCTTGCTCTTGAATAGGCAGAAGCAACATAATGAAAAATGGCCATAGTCCCAAAACTGTCATGCACATTTAATGCAGTCCCAATCAAAGCAACAACAGCATACTTTACAGAACTATAGCAAACAATCCTATCATTCATATGGAGTCAGAAGAGATGCAGAATAGCAAAGGCAATTTTGGGCAACAACAGAAAAGCAGGAGAGGGAGGCATAGAAACAACTGATCTCAGCTATACTACAGAGGAATAGTGATTAAAAATGGCACAATACTGGAACAAAAACAGATGCATGGATAAATGGAATAGAATAGAGGATACAGAATCTTCTCCAGACACAGTAAGCTATTTTTCTTTTTTTGAGGCACGGTCTCTTTATGCAGTGCAGGCTGGCCTTGAACTTACTATGTAGCTCAGGCTGGACTCAAACTGAAGGCAATCCTCCTACCTCAGACTCCTGAGTGTTGGCATTACAGGTGTGTACTACCATACCCATTCAGTTATTTAATCTTTGACAAAGGAGCCAAAGGCATATGTTGGAGAAAAGACAGCTTATTTAACAAGTGGTGCTGGTAAAATAGGCTCTCTGTTTGCAGAAGATGGAAACTGGACCTTTACCTCTCATAACATACTACAGAAAAATCAAAATGGATCAACTATTGAACATTAAAATAGAAACATTAAATCATCTGGAAGAGAAAATAGACAAAACACTTTAGACATATTTGTAGAAGATTTTCTAAACAGAACCTCAACTACACCAGAACAACAAAAATTAACAAATGAGATCCTATCAGACTAAAAAGCATCTGTGCAACAAAATAATGATTCAGCATGAAAGGGAAATTACATTTTTAAACAAAGCCTGTAAAGGATGCCTGCCAAGACCAGGTAGACATGTCTGCCTCCAGACAAGTCTGATAACACAACATTATTTCCCTTGTGTAAGCTTGTCAAACAGATGGCCTTAAAGTGTTATTTGAAATGTTCCTCTGTGTGACCTCTGTCTTTGCTGCCTTAGTATAACTGATGTCCTTGCAATGTAACTTAAAATGGAACAGGACATTAATTCCTTTGTATAACACATGCTTTCTGTAACAGATGGCCTTGCAATAAAAGACCCAATACCCACTGGGTGGTGCTGACTCTTTAGGAGAGATCCCAGTCAAGCCCACCAGTGCAATACACTGCCCCCTACACCTCCTCTGTGCCTTTTCTTCCTGTGTTTGGTCCATTTTCTGTAACAAGTAGAGTGAAGAGGCAGCCACAGAATGGGGACAACTTTTTGCCAGCTACTCCTCAGACAGAGAACTAATATCTGGAATACACAAAGACCCAAAAGAGTTAAACCTAAAATTAAAGACCCTCTCAAGAATGAGAAAGAAATATAAACAGACACTTCACAGAGGAACAAATACAAAATACAAATGGTCAGTAAAATATATGAAAAAACGTTCAACATGTCTGGCCATTACAGAAGTGAAATTTACAACAATGATAAGGGTTTTTAGTTGTTGTTGTTCTGTTTTGTTTTTTGTTTTTGAGACAGGGCCTCACTCTGCAGTCCAAGCTAGCCTTGAGCTCACTTTGTAGCCCAGGCTGATCTTAAACTCCCAAGGATCCTCCTACGTCAGCCTCTCAAGTGCTGGGATAACAGACGTGCACCACCACGCCTGACAATTTCATCTTACTCTGGAAGGAATGGCGAACATTAAGAAATCACAACATCTAATGCTGGTGAGGCTGTGGTGAAAAAGGAAACTTCATTATTGGTGGCAATGTTAACTAGTACCACCATTATGGAAATGAGTGTGTGGATGTGTCAAGAACTAACATTAGAAATTCTGCATGACCCAGCTACCCTCCTTCTAGGTATCCTCCCTATAATGGTTGATACATTGTGTCAATTTGAGAAGTCTAGAAGCTAAACTAAGTAACTCAGCAGTTCTACATCTTGGGATGTAGAGGACATGCCCTGACAGTTCTACCATATTCTTCATTGTGTCAACTTGAAAAGTTTACCAATTTCACTAAGTGACTCAGCAGGAGGCAAGCGTCCTCACTTTGTAAAACTCCTGAGCCTGTACAAGAGGAGGGCACGGAGATGGTGTGAGTGCTACACCCACCCCAGGGCAGGTGGCAAGCATACAATATAAAGGAGAAAAAGAGGTTTGTTCCCCACCCTTTCCGCTCTTGTTGCTTTGCTGTGTTCTGCTGCCTTGAAGTGTTGCCGCTGTGCCATGCCACCCTGCCTTGGAGCCAGCTGATTATAAAATGAAACCTCCACAAGCTGTGAGCTAAGTAAACCTTCTCTCCTTTAATTTTGGGTGTTGGGTATTCTGTCTCAGCAGTGAGAGAAAAGAAACTAAGATGTTCCCCAAACAACTTAAGACATCATACTCTCATGATACATGCATACCGAACTTTGTAGGAGCACAATTCATAGTACATAAATCCTCAAAGCAGCCTGTATAGCCCTCAATAGACAGTTTCATAAATAAAATATGACATCTATATGCAATAGAATACTACCCAGCTATTAAAAATAATAAACAGATATTTGCAGGAAAATGAATACACCTGGCAAATATAAACTTGAGTGAAATAAACCAGAAAAAAGCTTAAATACCATGTGGTATTTCTCATTTGAGTGAAGCAAAGTACAAAGAAAATAATAAAGGATAGGTACAAAGGGACAAGGGGATGAATCTCTTGCAAAAGAAAAGTGGTCCAAGAGAACAGGGAAAGGGATGAGGAGGAGGGGAAGGGAAAATCAGAGCAAAGATATGCCATGTACAGAGACCTAATAATCTCTATTAATATAAACCTTATTTGCCATAACAGGAGTTGCTATTGATGTCTGCCAAGGCCCCAGGCTGGAAGGGCCCTAACCTGAGCCTCTCCAAGGTCACTTCTGACCACCAAGCCCCAGACACTCAACTAGAAGCCACCAAAGGCACGGCTGGCCTGGCATCAGAAGAAAAGGCTGTACTTGATAGTCTTCCTTAAAGCTCAAGTCCAACTGTGTTGCTACTTTTTAATCAAAGCTTAGTTATGTATGATTTAAACTCAAGAGACTGCGAAGGCTTGATATTGATTCCATCACTCTCTCAAGGTCAGCTAGGAGACTTGCAAACAAGTTCTCTGGGCACTGACCCAGTCCAGCACTAGTCAGGAAAGGGAAGGGGCTCAGTTAAGGCACAGCACAATATGAGACTCAGACCTCACCCCTAGACACAGGATCCCAAGGCTAGGTTCCTGCCCCCTCCTGAGGCCAGAGGGTAGCTAAGCGCCCCTTTTTCCTATGATCTGAATTGTCAGACATTCTGTGTCTCCAGACATGTGGTAACAATGGCCTCCTATGACCTGCTGGGGAACTCAATTTTTCTCCCTTTATTCCCTCTTCCTCTCTCTGTCAAAAGCCACTAAGAGTTTCAGCAGGAGAATTCCTTCCAAAGCCTTCTTACACTTTATTAATAAACATTCAAATTAAGAAACAGGCAAGAAAAAAGGGTTTGGCCTGAACCTCATTCCCCAGAACATAGCAGATCTTACATAGCAAGTTTTCTAAGGAGAGGGCTCCTGTATGCAGATAAGTTATTCCTTTCAACCTGGAGACCACTCACCAAACTCTAACAACTGCAGTAGTTCACTTTTTGTACCACAAGAGTTTTCATTTGTAATTTTCACAAAAACATTCCAGATTCCATTTTTTCTCCAGATAAAATCCAATGCATTGTTGAAACAGCTCCTACCGGGGCTGGGGATTTAGCTCAGCGGCACAGCGCCTGCCTGGCAAGTACAAGGTCAAGAGTTCGATTCCCGGTACCGGAAAAACAAACAAACAAAAAAAACCAGAAGAAACGAAACAGCACCTACCTGTTCCTTAGCCTCTGTTTCCAGCTGTTAGTCAAATCTTCAATTGAAGCACAGTAGTGTGCACATCTAATCCCAGCTTTTGGGAGGGGGAAGCAGGAGGATCACAACTTCCAGGTAAGCCTAGGGTACAAAGTGAGATCCTGTGGGAAATGAAAAAAGGTCTGATTAACCCAGAAGAAGCAAATGCCCTACTGTTCCATCAGCCCACTGAATTTTCCCCTGCCCTTTTGTTACTTTATTATCTCAGAATGCCCTCCTGTTTATCATACTTTTATTGTTTAGGTTAACTGACAAGCAGTGTCACTACTAAAAACACCACCAGCAGCACCAAAAAAATGAGGGGCTGCAAGACCTGTCTCTGTTGACACAAGGTAAGCCCAGAGAGGGCCAGAAGCCCCAGTGAGCAAAGGCCACAGCTACTGTGAACTATAAAAGTGGCGTTTTACAGTTTTACTGTGACAGTGGCTCTTTCCACATGGCAGACTAGAGCTCGAGAAGTAACCCGGTGCACTGGCTGCCATATCTGAAAGGGTTTAATCTCCAGCCATTTTCAAGAGGGGTTAATTGTTTAAGACTAAGATACAAACAGCTACGCTTCACAATTTCTGGAGTCACTCTACCACGGTAACTGGGCTGGAGATGACCATAAATAGTGCAGATAGCATGGGCTGCACATATCCCCCAGCTACCCAGGTTTAGGCTCAGACTGGGAATGACACAAGGGCTCTGCCCTATCTGCTGAGAAGCCAAGTCATTCCTGCGTGGCCTTGCAGAGGGTTTGGACTAAAGTGCTACCATTAAATCCAGGGTTCTTCTTCGACCCCCAACATGCTGCCAAAATCAAGCACAGAACTCAATGCTGTTTGCTTTCTTCACCTACCAATGTGCCCAAGGATTCACCTCAGCTTGGATGACTGTCACAGATGGGTGTATTAACAAAAAAGCCTATGCAGTTGGGTGGGGAGCACATTACAAGCCCAGAGAGCTTTAAGCTAGGAAGGGCAAGCTATGACTTTGGGTGCACAGAGATGCAAAAGGTAGAAGAGGCTGCAGTGGAAATAGGTTTAGGGTGGACACAACTGACCGCTCAGGAAAGGGAGAGAACTGTTCAGCATTCAGTAACAAAAATGTTCACATCCAATTCTGCAGGCAGTGCAAATAACTCATTCATTTAAAAACACGGAGGAATTTCTTTTAGAATTATTCCCTTTTTTGTTTTGTTTTTTAAAGGTTTGGGGTCTGTTCTTTTTAGTTTTCTTTTTATTTTGATGTTTTTGTAATTCTTTTTTTGTTTGTATTTTTCTCTACTTTTACCTAATTTTATTGTTTTTCTTTGACTTAATAGGTCCTTTTCCTTTATCTCACTGTATTTTCCCCCTCATTTTCCTTCCATTACTCAAATTTTACTTCTTTCATTCTCCTGCTCTCCACTGCTTCTACCTGTACTATTATTAGTATTAGCATTTATTAATCTTTAGATATTTAGGGGGGCTGGGGATTTAGCTCAGCGGCAAAAGCACCTGCCTGGCAAGCGCAAGCTCATGAGTTCAGTTCCTGGTACCGGAGAAAAACAAAAACAAAAAAATAAAATAGATATTTAGTTAACTCTATGCTATTATTGTTGAGTTATCTTCTATTGCTAATGGTGGTATAGATGATGTGATTAGTATATATCCACTAGATATCAATATATGGATTCTTTGCACCTATATTATGATTATATATTTCTTTTATGTAACTAAGGATGGTACAGTGGAAATTTTGATTGATTCTTATGACACATCAATATCCACTTCGTTTTTGACTACTTTCTCTTTTTGGGGTTTTGAGACAAGGGCTCACTACACAGTCCAGGGTGGCCTTGAACTCACTACTTAGCCCAGTTGTCCTCAAACTCATGGTGATCTTCCTGGCTCAGCCTCCTGAGTGTTTCCTGACTCTATTATTGTTGTTGAATTTTTGCTATTGCCAAGGAGGCCTAGTTGTTTCTATTAATTTGTGCAGTGGATCGATAACTGGTGGTCAACTTATAACCCCCAGCTGAACTGAGTAAGTGTGGTGCTGGGTGTGGGAGGCCCACCTGAGGACTGTTGCCAACACCATAAAGGCAGACCTGGAGAAGAAGGAGGCTGTTGGGAGCTGACACAGGCTGTTGGGAGCTGGCTCTCCTGATGAACTCGGCTGTTTTCATCCTCCGAGGAGCTTGGGACCTCGCTGGCACTTGCGAATGGCTTTGGTTCACTTTGGGGAGCTATGCTCCTCACTTTGAGCATAGCTTCCTGGCTCCAGAGGGGAAGATGGTGCACTGCCAGCCTCCTGGCAAAGCTTGCTGCATGGGCTTCCCCGATGGGAACGCGGCCATCCTGATCATCACAGGAGCTCGGGACCTCACTGTTGCCGGCGATGGCTGTGGTACCTTTTTGGGGAGCTCTGGTTCTTCTGAGCATCACTTACTTCCCGGCTCCAGTGCAGATCCCTCAGCCTGCTAGCATAGGTCCTTCATCCTGGTGGCACAGACTTTGTACATTCCACCACTGACCTTTGGGCCTGCCCAGCAGATCCGTGAAACAGGCCTGCACGAGACGTTGTCTTGGGCTCTGGTTATTCAGCTGGACTCATGTAGGACATTGTTGTGGGATCCAAGCCCTCAGCTAGATTCCTTGGTCTTAGTGTGTGGACAGATTTCCTGTGCTCTTTTTTTTTTTTTTTTTTTGGTTTTGGTTTTTCTCCGGTACCGGGAACCAAACTCACGACCTTGTGCTTGCCAGGCAGGCGCTTTGCCGCTGAGCTAAATCCCCAGCCCCCAGAGCTAAATCCCCATCCCCCTCCTGCACTCTTTTGTATACTGTTCTTTGGGTGACTATTATAAATAATCATATGAAGTATGTGTCCTGTATTATATTGTTCCCCTTGCAAAATAAGCCCCAAACCAACACAATTGGTTTTCACTGTATGGTTCAATCTGGTTTTTGTCTTTGTGTCATCAAATATATATTTCTGTGAGACTCCTGGAAAGATGGCAGAGTGATAAACAGCAACAAATCAACCTCTCCAGGATTTGGAATCCAGACCCTGGGAAATAACAACTTGGGGGACAAAAGAAGACGTGAATACCCAGGACCAAGGAAGGGTCTCAAGGTAAAAATCAGAGCCTGCAGAGAAAGTGACAAATCAGACCAGAATGCAGAAAAAGGAAGTGGTAAACTATTTTCTCCTCAGCTCCTGCCTCACAGCATGAGAGGGAAGGATCAATGCGAGGGTAGATGACTCCAGAGGCCTGCAAGGAGGAACGCACCAGTGCAACAGGGCTGTGCACTACAACAGCTGCTCAGTGACTCCAGTCCGACACTCTACCACGTCCCCAGAGAGAGTGCTTGGCCAGAGCCATTTTACGGAGGGACCAACTGAACTTGGGACATGAAACAGCCACGGCATGACTTCCTCTCAAGGTTCCCTATGTCAAATTCCCACACTGACCAGATGAGGGACAACAGAGGAGATGTTCAGGGTCAAGGAGCTGAGGTCAGGCTGGGAAGAGACACTGAAAATGTAGGCTGAACAACTCAGGCGCCAACCCCACAATCAGAGGCTAAGGTCAACCTAAAATTCTGTCGAGTTGAAAGCACCAGAACCGGCACCGTGCCCTAGTCCTACTCAGGCTTGCTGGGATTATCCAGTACCCTGCCCTAAATCTACTGCAGGCATGCTGGGGTCACCCAGTTCAGACCTGGGATATCTATCAGTCTTCTTTGTCTACCAGTGACAGCAGAGATACACCGTGAATTAGATATGAGCACAAAACCATAGATCCCCAGAAGATAACCACAGGCTTGAAATCACAGAGAAATAACATCTTTTTCCCTTACTTTTGGGTTTTTTTCTCTGTAGGGAAAGATAGGGGACAGGCAGAGAAAGGTAAAGGCCTTCTTGGGGTTTCTAGCAAATCCTGACTGGAAAGGGTTAAACCCTCAATGGGGAGAGCAATTAAGAGAAGCAGGGAGAACTGATGAGAAGCCCAGCTTGCTTTGAAGCTAGGGCCCAATTCACTCCTCTCCACCGGCCAGTTAACTACAAAGGAGGCAAGATGGGAAGGGGCTATATGATAAAAAATTCACTTTGTATATAAAATATACACTCATACTGGGATACACACCTATATACAAATACATATATTTTATCATTCTCTCACCATGTTAATGTGGTAAAATGTGCAAGTATTACTGTACAACTCCTAACTCAGTCTTGAATGTGAGGCTCTGTTATAAGGCTCTATGGTATCACCTTGGCAAAATGAAGAAGATGAAAGGGAGCTTACCCAAGAATTTGCATGTAGGAAATACAGAGGGTCATTGGCCAGATCAGGGATGTGAGAGCCTGAAACAGCCAATCAATTTATAACAACTCTCAAAGGGGAAGAGGCCCTTTTTTGCTGTATAATGAAATGGGCTAAAAACAAAGACCTTCGGGGGCTGGGGATTTAGCTCAGCGGCAAAAAGCGCCTGCCTGGCAAGCGCAAGGTCGTGAGTTCGGTTCCTGGTACCGGAGAAAAA